CACAATTGGGTATAAAGGCCAGTGAAAGCCCCCTTGCAACTCACACTGCTGCTTCTTCGCAGAGAATCTGCTTCTCGGCGGACACTCGTAATCGTTGTCGTACGACATTGGGCACATCCTCAATCTCCTGGTGCCAAGGTCAACGAAATGGGGACATACAGCAGCTCCACAATTCTCAACACATCGTTCCTGCTTCCCAGCGCCTCCAGCTTGCTCACTGCAGATGCTGCTTTGCGTGGTCCGGATTTGACGATCTACATATTCGGGACCACTCCTCCTGCGCCTAACGCAACTATAGTTGCAACTTATCCACCTGGTCTTCGACCGTCGGATGTGACACCATATCCAGTCGGGGTCCCCATTGTCGGTGACAACCCCATCAGACTGACTACTTCAAAACAATCACAGATTGTCGGCAGGTAAAGGGCCTTTCGCGTCACGCGAATCACGTGAGAGGATCAATACCAGGTTCAAACAACCGGAGTCTTGGACCCGAAGCTAAATGGTAGGAGTGGTACCATTTCATTTTCAGGCATCCAGACTTCGGTTTTCAACATTCCTCCCGTTTAAGAGTTGGGCGTCACTGGTGGCACGGGAGCCTATGGTCAAGCCAAGGTGACTCTCATTAGTAATTCTGATTTCAAGACAACCTTGAAATGGGAGGTGTACATTTTCTACCCAGAATTATGCAGGATAGAATCCTTGTTGAACTAGTGCCAATAACAAAATAGTCCATGAGAAATTATCCTTTGGGATCACCAGCCTCACGCGAACGGGATTATCCCTTTATAAGTTTCTCGCACGCTGCTGCCAAGACTAGATCTGATCTAATAGCTTAGATCTAGGAATGGAGATAGTCGTCTTGGACAGTGATCTGTACCACTGAATCCCTCGGTCCAAATTCAGACCCCGATTCAAGAGGATAGCTGCATTGGTTCATGCTAATCATAATCAACCCTTTACTCGTGGATTATGAAGCATTTCTGAATATAGGCCCATCTGCGCTGAAATTCTTAATTTAAGTTCTGGTTTTTAGAATAGCTGTGGAAACTTTGAATGGTAGTGCTCAACGGGTTCAGGGTAAATAAACTGGGAGGCTTCTTACACTTGAAACAGCTCAATTGTAGGCATACGAATATAAGTGAATCTTGTATCTTGTAGATTCTTGTGTTTATCTTCTATTTGAAACGCTTTCTTATGGTTACATTTCCATGCTATAACGAGCATATCTTGATAAAGTCTACACTTAAGATCTTATGGCTACTTTTAAGGAATGTCAAAGCACGAGAGATTTATATAGAGAAACATCTCCATTATATAAAAGAGGGCTGTTGTGCGGTATACTCTAGTTTAAGGTATAGAATGATCACCTACAACCACTGGAAATCGAAGGTGTCTGATCATGTTCCCCGATGGATCTGCAGATTCAAGAGTGCCTACATGGATAGGAGGCAAGGATAATTTGTTTCGGATTTGTTGGGTAATTCTCTTCCAAAACGATGTTTTGGTATTCTGGAAATGATCTCAATTCCAAATCAATGAGCTGGATTCCACTCTTTGTTTTGCAAATCCAGAACAATGTCTGGAATTCCTTTCCCGATTTTCCTTTTCATCTCTCTTCCGCTTGTTTGTGTTGGTGATCTGTCTGGAGCTTGTATAAGTCAACTCCCGCTTCGTGGCTTTTTTGTTTGATCTTCCAGGTTGTTTTGCGGTTCGGGCTGGATTCGGTGTTATATTGTATTAGAGCTGCAGGTTTTCACCACAATGTCTGAAATTCAGGTTACTGATTTTGTTTTGATAATTATAAATATAATTATAATATAAAAAATTATTTAAAAATTTATAACTAATTATAAAAAAATATTGTTTTCCTTGTAAAAATAAGATATTTCATAAAGATTATTATAATATTAAAAGATCTTTTAAAATAATAATATTTTTTATTTATAATTTGAAAAAAAATTGTATTTCTTGTGTTTCATTAAATTTGAAAAATAATATATTCTTATTAAATACGATATGATTAGAGATTCTAATTTTTGAACTTCCAAATAGATTAAAATTAAAATTTTGTACAAAATTTGATTAAAAAAATCCATATTGGATTTCTCTATATAATTTGATGATATATTTAGTTATTTCTATTAATAAATTCCAATTCTGGCACTTTTCAACTACTTAATAAAAAATTCAAATATATCTAATGACTTTTGAAAATTTTAATGCAATAAAAAATATTTTTTATCAATAGTAAAATCATGGTATTTACAGTTTCAATTTTTGATATAAAAATTTATAAAAACAAGAAAATTGATGCAAGAGTCTTGGGTATGTTGTTTATCATAAATACTATTGGTAGATTTTGATAACCTAAAATTTCAAATTTAATGTTAAATATGTTGAAATACCTAGTATACAATCATAAAAAAACTTTCGTGTTTTCATGAACATCAATCAGTTAAATTATGACGTACGGTTTTAATTTTTTAGCATTTAATACACAAAGCAATAAGTTTTTTTCTTTTTATAAATTATAATATATAGAAAGGATTTCAATGTGATTTTGCATACGTAATTTCATTAAAATAGAAATTGCATGATTTAATTGAGATTAACTCTAGTTAAAGAATAACCTCAGGTACTAGTTATTTATAGTTAGTTATATATATACCTAAGGATTTTATTTTTAACGGCTCTTTCAATTATGGGTAAATTATCTCGCGTATTCCAAGTATGGACGGACTACTTTAAAGGGTGAACCACGTTATATTGTTGTGTATCAATCTTAACGATGAACCGCGTTATATATGGTGTCTCGCGTCTACTTGTGCTTGTGACTTTCTGCTTTTGATTTACACGTAACAAATTGGTTTCAGAGCAGTGTTTAGATTCGGTGTTTGTCACTTAACAATGTGTGTGGCAGGTTTGTCGAATACTAGTTTTTTCGTCACTGACGGAAATTCTGTTTGTTAGTGTTTTTTGACAGTTTTCAAAAAAATCTCAGAGGTGACAATTCGACAAAGGTATAAGAAACCAGTTCGAGCAGACATGGTGACAGAATTTTTCGAGAAGTAGGTCACTTGAAGGAGCTCTAGAGAGACAAGGCCCATCTGTGAGTGCTTTCTGTCTAGAAATGCGTTAAAATTCGAAGTGAAGGGAAGGGAAAAGAGGGAGGGAGAAAGTCAGTTCATCTGTGTTGATTTCAGGTGTAGTAGTTGCTGTAAACGAAGAAGACGTTTCCCTTTCCATCTGGATGCACTACGAGTTTGCACCGTCTGCAAAAGAAACGAGGAAGGAAAGGCGGTGCCGGAAGTGGATGCTGGTTGATCTTGCTGCCACTAAGATCCAGATGCTGCAGGATGTACAAACTCTTTTTCGTATGAAACTTAGCCTCGTAGCCGACTAAGATAGTACGTACATAGTGAACATTGATGAGATGAGTTGAGTTGATACGTACAGGTCCAAATTCTCCTTCTAGAGGTTTGTTACTGCATCGTATGTATACTCTTCATTACGTCTCCACTCACAAGTCGAGGATTCTCCCATGTTCGCGCGCTCTGTATAATTATAAAATTTAACCTTGTTTGTTGAGGTGATAATGGGAGCTTCTGTCGTTGTTATTGTCTCTTATGCTTTACAAGGTAGGAACATGGAGCCACTCGCTATCCTACCTCTGAATTGTAACCTATTGGCTTTGTCTTGGTTTGTATAAGTAATGCACAGAACTTAGTTTTCCTTGCTTGTTTGACCCCACCTATTGCTTCACCAAGAGCAACATATTAATCTACGATATCAGTAGCTTTGATTATATCATTATTCTAACTAGAATAGGTTGTTATAGATTTTATACAAGAGGGATGAGTGAATCGAGAAGACTTTTTTGTGTAAAATTATTGTTGAAAGATTTTTGTTTTATGTTTTGTTAATGTATATATTGGATATAAAATTTCTATTGAGAATTTATAATTTTTTTCAAAAAAATTTAAATTTTTCAATTCCTTTTTAAATAAATAAATAAATAAATATATCCTAAAAAAAACGTATTTATATATATCCGATTTCATTACATAAATTTGACATTAAAATTATCTATTATAAATTCATTTAATTTAAAATATTATAAAATAATATCATCCATACATTCCATAAGATGTTCTCTGTATATAAATTATTATTAAAAAAAATCATACATGCATTCCATACATATCTTTAATTTGTGATACACGTTGAATGTTCCAACTCTAAAGTCTTGTATCCTATATGTATAAAAACAAAATTTGTAGATCGGATAGTCAGATTTGGTACCCAGAGGTCCAGCACAAAATAATCACTTTATAGTATAAGGCTTATACCAATGTTGAGCACCTTTGGAGCGTCCATGTTAACTGAGGACATGTTCCTCTTTCTCGAGCATTTATGCTCCATTTGTTTCATTTCGTATGCAGACAAACACACGACAGGATTAGATCTTCTCACCTTGGCTCTAGTCCAGCTTGTCGTAAGATCGAGATTCTGAGATTTACACATGATACAGATATAACCTTGCCCGAATTCATTGCTAATGGCGAGGATGTGGCCCACGACTTCATGGTTATTGCGATCTACTATTCTCTGGAAAAATCATGAGCTCTAGGGAGAGAATGCCTTAAATGATGCATGCAGATACTGTGGTTCTAGTTGGAGATCTATCCAAAGCTACACTTTGTTTTTGTTGGCTAGAACTGGGCATTCTGCTCAAAGTGATCAACGTCCTTTAAGTATTTGCAAGATGTAGACGTGGTGGTACAGAGTTGGATGAGCTCAGAAACGGACATGGAATAACTACTCGAACATGATCCTGGAATGGAGACTGTTGGAAGATTACAAGCTTTGTCCATCGTCAAGCCTTTTAAGTTTCTTTAATAGGTACAATCAGCCTCCGTGGAACTTCTCATGCACCTGCCTTAGATTCCTTCGTGTCCGAAGGGGTATAAGTATCGCTCAAAGTGATCATTTAATTCAAACAAGCCAGTTCAATCCTTGATCATTGGCAAGCTCAGCAGCCTCTGGTGAGGACCAAAAGCTCTGTCACTCCTTCTTCATTTAGAATGTACAGAGAGAACAAGAGTCGAGACTGCCAGAACTGATCATAGAGTGTGGATTCTAGACAATGTAGCTGCGGTGTGATTGAATCTATCTACCCAAATGTTGCTGGTCATTGTCATGACAAAGTTCAGATCTTTTGCTTGATCTCACAAATTCCATCTCGGCTGATGCATCATTGTCACATTTTCGTTCTTCATCGATCTTTTCTTGCAGGTACATACCTGAAGATGGCGCCCTCTAGCAATGTGGTGTTCATGTTGATCCTCACGACCTTGGTTTTCAGCCATGGTCAGGCTTCGGCCAACGGAGAGACCATCACAGAGAAGATACAGCATGGGTTCACGGACGTTGGTGAATCAGACGCTGCGCTAACCGCTACTAGAGAGAAGATCGTCGAGGGACTGAAGACTGTCACAGATATGTCCGATCAGCTGCGAGTTGCGACCCAGAAGATCAACATCTTCAACGCTCCTCAGCAGGGAGCGGTGATCGCCAGCGGATTTGCAACCATCATTCAGAAGGTTTCTGAGGGAATCGTGAGGGTGGACCGAGTCACTTCAGGTCCGCTTCCGGATGCTGATGCCCAGCTCGTAGTGGACGCCCTGACGACATTCGTGCAGGTCCACCAGGCGTTGCTGAATGTGGTGATTGGCAAGCACGGCATTCTTACGATGATTCCGTTCTTCGAGCCCATCAGAATGTCTCTTGTGAGTCTGGAAGCTGTCATCGACAGGTTGGCGTTCGACTTGATTGCTCTTATTCCTACTCAGAAATCGTCGGCAACAATCCAGTTCCAGAAGCTGGACGTCACGTTGAAAGACGCCGAGGACACCTACAGCTTCCCTCTTGCATCCGCTGAATCTGATGCTGCTCTCACTGCCACCACAGAGAAGATCGTCGAGGGACTGAAGACTGTCACAGATATGTCCGATCAGCTCAGAGTTGCGACCCAAAAGATCAACATCTTCAACGCTCCTCAGCAGGGAGCGGTGATCGCCAGCGGATTTGCAACCATCATTCAGAAGGTCTCTGAGGGAATCGTGAGGGTGGACCGAGTCACTTCAGGTCCGCTTCCGGATGCTGATGCCCAGCTCGTAGTGGACGCCCTGACGACATTCGTGCAGGTCCACCAGGCGTTGCTGAATGTGGTGATTGGCAAGCACGGCATTCTTACGATGATTCCGTTCTTCGAGCCCATCAGAATGTCTCTTGTGAGTCTGGAAGCTGTCATCGACAGGTTGGCGTTCGACTTGATTGCTCTAATTCCTACTCAGAAATCCTCAGCAACAATTCAGTTCCAGAAGCTGGACGTCACGTTGAAAGACGCCGAGGACACCTACAGCTTCCCTCTTGCATCCGCTGAATCTGATGCTGCTCTCACTGCCACCACAGAGAAGATCGTCGAGGGACTGAAGACTGTCACAGATATGTCCGATCAGCTCAGAGTTGCGACCCAAAAGATCAACATCTTCAACGCTCCTCAGCAGGGAGCGGTGATCGCCAGCGGATTTGCAACCATCATTCAGAAGGTCTCTGAGGGAATCGTGAGGGTGGACCGAGTCACTTCAGGTCCGCTTCCGGATGCTGATGCCCAGCTCGTAGTGGACGCCCTGACGACATTCGTGCAGGTCCACCAGGCGTTGCTGAATGTGGTGATTGGCAAGCACGGCATTCTTACGATGATTCCGTTCTTCGAGCCCATCAGAATGTCTCTTGTGAGTCTGGAAGCTGTCATCGACAGGTTGGCGTTCGACTTGATTGCTCTTATTCCTACTCAGAAATCGTCGGCAACAATCCAGTTCCAGAAGCTGGACGTCACGTTGAAAGACGCCGAGGACACCTACAGCTTCCCTCTTGCATCCGCTGAATCTGATGCTGCTCTCACTGCCACCACAGAGAAGATCGTCGAGGGACTGAAGACTGTCACAGATATGTCCGATCAGCTGCGAGTTGCGACCCAAAAGATCAACATCTTCAACGCTCCTCAGCAGGGAGCGGTGATCGCCAGCGGATTTGCAACCATCATTCAGAAGGTTTCTGAGGGAATCGTGAGGGTGGACCGAGTCACTTCAGGTCCGCTTCCGGATGCTGATGCCCAGCTCGTAGTGGACGCCCTGACGACATTCGTGCAGGTCCACCAGGCGTTGCTGAATGTGGTGATTGGCAAGCACGGCATTCTTACGATGATTCCGTTCTTCGAGCCCATCAGAATGTCTCTTGTGAGTCTGGAAGCTGTCATCGACAGGTTGGCGTTCGACTTGATTGCTCTTATTCCTACTCAGAAATCGTCGGCAACAATCCAGTTCCAGAAGCTGGACGTCACGTTGAAAGACGCCGAGGACACCTACAGCTTCCCTCTTGCATCCGCTGAATCTGATGCTGCTCTCACTGCCACCACAGAGAAGATCGTCGAGGGACTGAAGACTGTCACAGATATGTCCGATCAGCTGCGAGTTGCGACCCAAAAGATCAACATCTTCAACGCTCCTCAGCAGGGAGCGGTGATCGCCAGCGGATTTGCAACCATCATTCAGAAGGTTTCTGAGGGAATCGTGAGGGTGGACCGAGTCACTTCAGGTCCGCTTCCGGATGCTGATGCCCAGCTCGTAGTGGACGCCCTGACGACATTCGTGCAGGTCCACCAGGCGTTGCTGAATGTGGTGATTGGCAAGCACGGCATTCTTACGATGATTCCGTTCTTCGAGCCCATCAGAATGTCTCTTGTGAGTCTGGAAGCTGTCATCGACAGGTTGGCGTTCGACTTGATTGCTCTTATTCCTACTCAGAAATCGTCGGCAACAATCCAGTTCCAGAAGCTGGACGTCACGTTGAAAGACGCCGAGGACACCTACAGCTTCCCTCTTGCATCCGCTGAATCTGATGCTGCTCTCACTGCCACCACAGAGAAGATCGTCGAGGGACTGAAGACTGTCACAGATATGTCCGATCAGCTGCGAGTTGCGACCCAAAAGATCAACATCTTCAACGCTCCTCAGCAGGGAGCGGTGATCGCCAGCGGATTTGCAACCATCATTCAGAAGGTTTCTGAGGGAATCGTGAGGGTGGACCGAGTCACTTCAGGTCCGCTTCCGGATGCTGATGCCCAGCTCGTAGTGGACGCCCTGACGACATTCGTGCAGGTCCACCAGGCGTTGCTGAATGTGGTGATTGGCAAGCACGGCATTCTTACGATGATTCCGTTCTTCGAGCCCATCAGAATGTCTCTTGTGAGTCTGGAAGCTGTCATCGACAGGTTGGCGTTCGACTTGATTGCTCTTATTCCTACTCAGAAATCCTCAGCAACAATTCAGTTCCAGAAGCTGGACGTCACGTTGAAAGACGCCGAGGACACCTACAGTTTCCCTCTTGCATCAAAAACGGATGCGCAGACAGAGATTCTGAGATAGGAAGTGATTAAGAACGGAATTAAATCATATCTGGCAATATGGAGAGGAGAATTGCCATGTAGGAATAGACGATCTGAATACCAGATGTACGCAGGGGCATTGTGCGGGTTCGCTTTCTGCGTTCTATTAGGACTAACTCCGCAGTTTCGTGATAGATCTATGAGTTAGAGCGAGGACTGGGATTTTGTGATCCAGTTCGCTGATGTTTGTTTCTGCAAGGGCTTATATACAATGGCGTGAACCGCAGAATTGGTTGCCTTAAAGCCAAGCCTGATGATTGTACTTATGGTGTATAAGCTTTCAAATTGACAGACATGAATAAATTTCCAGGACTGCTTCCATGATCGTGGCTCTTTGGATACTCCATAGATTTGGACGACCATCTGCCAAACCAGCCACATGTGCCTACCTCTGAAGTTCCTTCAGACGTCCCATAACCTTCAAAGGGATCGACCCCCAATCAAACATTAATGTATCTGCAGGGTTCGAAATTCAGAAAATTCCTCCTCATCCGAAGAGAAGGTCCCTTCGAGGAAACTTTGTGAGGTTTGCAGTGAGAGTGAAGAAGACGTGATAATGTGTTCTCGTTATGGGCTTCTTCATCGGTCTAGGACTAACACAAATGTGTGATTTCCATTGAGGTAAGTAGCTGTGAGGACTACGATTTTGTGTCGTCGACTGATGTCAAAGAGATGAACAGATTGGACAACGAATCTCTGACAAGATTCTCTATGTTGTGAATGAATATGCCTGCCCCGGCACGTGGTCAATACAGTACCACCTTTAGTTAGAAAAGCGAGAATCTCTCCCTCCCTCCCCGTCTTTTACCGAGCCTCACCTTCATCAGTTGAATCAAATGTTAGCGAATCGGGTCGGAACCTTAATTACATGTAATTTCCATTGAGGACATTTCCATACTCCATGGACAGTCCGCAACGTCTATCGCCATGAATTTTCGCATGTGACCGCTGATTTGCTGAACTTGATAGACCATGTTACTCGGACCATACGAAATAAGTTTGCAACTATAATTGTTGATTCACAAGAGATATTCGTAAAGGTGGGGTTTTTCAAATATATTCGTAAAGTTGAGTCTTGTGATGCATAATGGTCTATTTTTTTTAATGCTTTCGAAATTCAACTATCCGAATAGACCCAAATGATATGAAATGTAATATTAATACTTCACATGTGAAGTAAAGATATTGAACATATCATGATTTTTTAAAATGAAGTATATAACATTATTTCACTAAAGTAATGTTTACATTGAATGAGAAATTTTGAAAGTGTTGTTTATGAAAACGGAAAAAAATAATTTCAACAATATAAAATTAGGGGAAATCGATTTTTTTATACAAGAATTTTTTTTTCAAAGATAATTTATTTCATAGAAAATTAAATTTTGCAATACAAAGTTCAACTTATCAATAGTGTGATATACTATAATGTACATACTCCCATTAGTGACATCAAAATGGATAACCAATCGTTTGTAACTTGTAAATCTGCCCAATAATATCAAGAAGTCACTATTGGCTACAGTGACAATGTCGAGCTATAAGTCTATGTCTTCCCAACTTTGTACATCCAAGAACACAAAACAAAATCAAATTTTGACTTCGAGTCAAGTCTACAAGAGCAATTTATAAACTTTGTATTGTAAATTGTAATATTTTCACACACAAAACCAATTGCAAGAATGTTGATAAAATGATTTAAGAAAAAAAAGTTGATTGAAGTAGTGATTGCCTAATTTGGCTTTTTGACAATTATTAGATATGTCATATCAACGACATCGTAGTCATCTAAGTTGATGGCACTCTGCAAGAGGCTGTGATGTTTCAAACCGAATTGACAGTTAAGTCATCCTTAGTTAATAGCATCAAGAGCATTGATTTCAACCCAATTTTAGACAATTTGTTCAATACTTGTGTCATCAAGATCAATGTACGCTTAAAAAATCATGTAGTTGAATTCCTTTAAAATTTTCACTAAATCATCCGCGACTTTACTTGAACTGGAAGTTGATCAATCAATATTTTGGTTAGAAATCACGTTGGAAACAAAAGGGAAACAATTGACTTTGACAAAATACCATCAAATAGTATTTTCCTTGATGACATTGAAGGCTGACTTGATCTAGCCAAGTAAGTTGTGCACATGTGTATGATCATTGATCAAGAACTGAAAATGAGATTCACTTACACTCAAATGCGAGATTTCATACTCAGACATAAAATGATTCAATTGAACACAACAAAATTGCACTTTAAAGTATCAAATGATTTCTTGATATAAAGGTTGACATTTGTTGGTACCATTTGGTGGTTTAAAAATGATGCACCGATTCTGATATCAAAAAAAAGTTCTTGTTGATCGGATACAAAATTTTGGACGTACAAACATAAGATGAACAATTTTCAATGAGATTGCTGTTCTTGGCAATTCAATTGTATTTGTGCAACAGATGCATACAAGACAATGTATCCTACTAGACTTTAACTTGATGATCATAGATAATTCTAAACACCTTACAATTATCCGAATATTTTTCAAAGCATGTGGATGAGCACTCTTTGGCATAAAATGTGTTGTATATTTGTCACCTAAAGTGCTAACTCCAAACGTCACTATGATTAGTTTTTTGCTTTGCTTGGTTCCACAACCATGCAAATTCATTCTGCAGTATGATTTTGATGATGTTGTGCAATGATATAAAGCGTACTTATCAATGATGATAATGCATTTGAGTGATATATCAATAAGCATTTTGCAAATTTGATGCAAATGTTTCTCCACCTGCATGAGGATGAGACGGTTATGTTCTATGCACCTTTTCATACTAGACGTTGAGATATATTTGAGATATTTTTTGATCAATCCATTCAATGCGAAAATATTCAAAGATAGATTGTGTCTAATGGTATCAAACATTTGAGATAGTCAAGCAAGATTTTTTCTTGAAAAAAAAAGTTTTTTTCTTGAGCATCTTGCCAATAACATTTAGCTTGGACGTATCAATCTCAACGCGCATATGCCATTGATGCACCATGTCTGTATGTGGTAACACACTTTTTGTTTTTCGCCGGAACTAAAACATTTTTGATTAGTAAGTACCGTGGTAGCAGCTGTAAATAGTAATCGGTACGCAAAGCCAGAGTAAAAAGAGGATTGAGGACAGTCAAGGGGTTTTGGGCTTAGGCCACAGTGGAACGCTTGGAATGGAACGGGCGGTTCACGCTGCAGGACTCGCTTCGAGCACCTTCGGCGGTAGATCACTCATAACTTCCTCAACTTTTAACGCCTTGGGTTACTTAGGGTCTCGTTGGAAAGAACTTGACGCTCTGGTTCTAACGAGCCCAAGAACGCCTGGAACGGATGAGGACTCAGGGAGTTGTGACTGTCGGAAGATGCGAAGGAGAACGCCTACGGATAGGCGGAAGGAGTTCGTCGGCGGCAGAATATCCACCTTCGGCCCTAGATGTTTGCGTTCGGCGACGTACTTCTTCGGGTCAACTTCAAGTCGGCAAACTCGGAGTCGGAGAACTCGGGGTCGGCGAACTCGAGGTCGGAGAACTCGGAGTTGGCAAACTTGAGGTCGGCGAACTCGAGGTCAAAGAACTTCAAGTCGGCAAACTCGGAGTCGGCAAACTTGAGGTCGGCGAACTCGAGGTCAAAGAACTTCAAGTCAGCAAACTCGGAGTCGGCAAACTTGAGGTCGGCGAACTCGAGGTCAAAGAACTTCAAGTCAGCAAACTCGAGGTCGGCGAAACATCGTGCGGGCGCCTTCGGCGATAACAGATAACAAGCCTTCGACAGTGTGCCTTCGGCGAAGGATAAAACCCGCATAACTCTTTCAACTCGTAACGGTTTGACTCAGTTAGGGTCTCGTTAGAAAGAGCTCGACGCGCTCGTTCCAACGAGCCCAAGAACTCTTGAAACGGATCAAGGATCTGTGAGTTATGGGTGTCGGGAGTGACTGTTACAAATAGACAAAGGTGCGGAAGTGCGTCTTCGGCGGTCAACGCCTTCGGAGAACTCGGAGTCGGCGAACTCGAGGTCGGCGAACTTCAAGACGGCAAACTCGGAGTCGGCGAACTCGAGGTCGGCAAACCGGATGCGGTTCAGAGATCTTGCGGAGTCCATATCTCTGCGATGGACGGTCGGATGGATCTGAAATTTGGTGGGGCCGTTGATCTCAGTCGGCCACGCATGCTTGCAAATATTCAGCCTCAGATCTCGGATGTAAAGACGCTGGCGGCTCTGTACAGTAGGCTTAGGATTCAGATTTAGGGTTAGGGTTAGATTTAGGTTGTAAGTTAGAGGGGAAGGTAGCCGCCGACTCCTCAGGTGTAGGATCTGTTGCGGCTCGCACCCTAGCGGGTAGCGTAGTGTTAGTTAGGACCTTAGAGAGTATAAAGTAGTTCAAGGCGTTTTGCCCTGGGACTCTTCCAGTTTCGGAAGTGCAGATCAGGAACTCACTTTCTTGGCGTGTTTGTGCATTTGGTCCTGGCACCACGTAGAGAAGCTACAGCATAGCGAAGTTACCGTATGTTGTAGTTGAAGGCCTTCGGCTGAATGTTCAGAGCTAGTACCCGGTTAGAGACTTGAGTAGTGCGGATCTGCACCTGCGGGTGATTTCTGATGCTCAGAGCTGGCTACGAGTTAGAGACTTGAACAGTTCCCCCTTACTCCTTCGAGTGACATATCTTGATTGTACTCCTACGGGAAGTTTCCCCTGAATGCCAAAGTGAAGTTTTATTACTTCGTGTAAGCCTTGGTTTGCAATTCAGGTTGTGTGTGTGTTACTGGATTGTGTCTCAGTTAGTCAGTCGGGCCTGTACCCCCTGCGGTTGGTGTGAGTCGAGGGTGACGTCCACGGCGTATGAAGGGGCTTCGTTCCGAAGTGGGAAGTCCAGTCCGGGTTCCCTACGCTAGTTCCTGGCGGAAGGGCAGTAAAAGCCGGAGTGGGAGTCACTACCTGCAGAACCTCTGAGTGAACTTTTGAGACACTTTCCCCCTGAAATCCGAAGCGGAGGTCCTGACCGACCTCTGAGTTGTGCTTTTGCCAGTTTCAGGTGTGTGTGTGTGTGTGTTGAGTGACTACGCTGTACTGTGCATCCTCCGAGTCGAGCATCCTCCTCCGAGTCGAGCACTGCAGTATTTCTGGGAGTGACAGTCGCCTGAGAATTCAAACTCTACAAAAGTCTGTTAAACGTGACACTTTTTACTCTGTGTGTTGCCTTTGTCCCTGTGGGTTCGATCTTTTTACCACCATACTGCAGTTTTAGCCTTTGGTGGGTTATTACACTGTAAAAAGTTGCACTTGAGTTGATGTAG